TCCCTTCAGGCAATGCAATACACCAATCACACACCACTTGAACTTGCTTCACAATTACGTAAAAACAACTGCCATCATCACATCATTTTACAAAGCAAATACACACACACAGTCACGCTTGGGCAAGACTGGACGCAGTCAACATCAGCCCTGGCTTCGCCAGTGGCCACTGCTGCCTGAGATGGCAACTTACAGTTCCGTGCACAATACAGCCCTCATTCTGGTGACTCTTGCCTTTTACTTACAGGCTGGGATTCGACCTGATGATTGTAGTGCTCTTAGCACAAACACTAATTAGACGCTAGAGACTATAAACGACACTAATTTGGCCAGTATCCCTGCGTAGAAACAGGCGACTTTTTCTCAAACCCTCTTGGAACCTAGTTGAGGAAAAAGCATATTTGGGATAAATAAAAAGAACTTAAGTCCACAGTCACTGGAATCAGTCAGAAACTTAACCCTGATCACAAAGTTTGAGGTAGAATTGCATATTTTACGAGCTAGACTTTACAGCAGTTTCTCAGGCCATGACCGATGTGGCAGATCCTCCAGAGGCTTTGACTGCTCCTCTACAGGTTCTGGTTCTCCTTTCTCCACCACGGGAATGGCGCTCAGGATGTCCTTACTATCAGACACAACCGTCCGGGCCTGAAGAAAGTCCTTCCACAACACGGCTTCAATGTAGTAGTGGGTGCCACCTACAATAATCGGCAGGCGGGGGGAGTCAGGAAAGTTTATTCTGTCGATTAAGCTCCAACAGTCAGCTCGATAGTTGTGAACGTTGTAGCGAAAGCCATCTCGCGGCTCGAGGATGCCTAGCAAGTGGTGCTTAACACCCCGCATCTCCGGTTCTGTGACCTGTTGAGAAACAGACGGCATCCGGTACAATCTTACAAAATTGATATTATCAACATAATTAATAGTAACGGACTTTGGTATGTCTTAATTCGACAGTGGGTTTATGGCCTGGCTTAAAACAAAGTATAGTGGAGGTAGCCTAAAAAAGAACTGACATACAAAGATGATAAAGAGTGTAACAATTCAATTCAATTCAAAGAATGTAACAATTTTGGTTTCTAGTCCAATATTTTTAGAGGAAATTAACCCATTCGGGAAGCTCGGTTTGTCCAATTTTCCCAAAAAGAAGAGTAAGAATTTTAAATATCAGCGAATTGAGTGACGACCCAAAATATTGTCCGAACCCAAATTACAATTTGTACGTCACTTTTCGTAAACTAGCGTTGAGGGACGGTGCCAAGGGAAAGCAGTTGTCCCCTGTTGGCCAGAGGGAATAACAACAACTAAGGTAAGGTGACCGAGGTACTAGAGCGGCGGTTGAGGCCGACTTTGTAAAAGCTGCAACATTTTGCCACATTTTGACCAAATGATTTGCAAATTGGCCTATTCGAAGCAATGAGCGCAACAACTGCATTGCGGCTTGCTTATACACGGTGAATGTCCGAAGAACAAGTTCATGCGGACATCTATGGCCTAAACATACGCACGTCGGTTGACAGGGAAATAAAAGAGCTGTCCGCGGTAAAGCAACTCTGAAGGTCCGATTTTTATTTGCTCAAAATTTAACTCGCCAGTAAAACAGGTTTTATTTTGACCCGAATGAACGGTTATGGTCAGAATTTAAGGACTATTTATCATATCGACGGTTGCTGAGTATATCGTCGGATACCCCAGATACAAATCGCCTTCTCGCTTAGAGTTTATTGTTGCAAGCAGTGCGACTGAAAGAAATGAGAAAAAAATATGAATAACGAAAAAAATATTTGAGACGAAACTACTAAAAAGCAAAAAGAATAGAATATCTCGGCAAAAAATATGGTCCAGTCAGTGCATGGTACGCAAGTCAAAGGCGGATGCAAAATTTTCTTTGGACTTCAACTAGCCAAGTAGACGAAACTCCACGTAACCCATAACGTTGGGAAGTTAGACCTGGTGTTACTGCAATCTGCAATGTTGCCTACAATGTTGTACGACGAATGAAAGCGTACGTCGATAATGACTTTGGGGAAAAATTATACAAGACCGTAAGTAGGCGGGCGGTGCACAACTACAGCAATTTGTGGTCTGAGTCAGTATCATATAAGACCGTGCCCACGAGACTTATTGTGGGCATGACACTTTATCTTTAATAGCTGTATTATTGTTCGGCCTCTCGGTTTCTATCTTTATCAGGGGAGAGCTTTGAAAAGAAGAATTTGTCGCGAGATACGCCTTTCAGGAATTTTGAGGACGTTGCATAGCCAAAAAAATTCCCTCAAGGCCGGCCAACCGACTGATCAACCACATGCATGAATCCTTGAAGCAGATGGGAAGATAAACAAGACATCCTCCTTAGTAAGGCAATTTAACAGGCCCACTGTGCATGAGACGTGTGCGGTTGGTAGGAATTTCCGACCCCTGGGTAAACACTATGTCGATCTGGGTAACAAAGAGAGATATAGGTTTGGCAAAATCCCCTTATTCTAACAGATGCTGTACCACCAACAGATGGTTGAAACTAAATGACGGTGTGGGGATGGCGGAGGATATTTACCTAGTCCACAGCTTTGCCAAGTAAACTCAAAATATTCTAAGTCAAGTCCTATCATAGAATTCATTTTGCTAGGCAACAGAAGGACAAAAAGAGATAAACCGTAATTTCTTAATACATATTTCGAGGTATAGCGCATAATAACATCCGATCGACCAAGTAAAAGAATCAAGCATCTGTTGACGAAGTGGAAGATTCTACTGACCTTGTTAGTCGCGATTTCGAGGCCCTTGTACAACTGAACAGCATCGGCGTTTAAGACCTCGCCGTTTAAGGCCAACGCGAGATCAATTGCCAGCTTCGACTTGCCAGTTCCAGTGGCACCGCAGACTGCAACCACGGGCAGCCGCATTGAAGGAATAGGTCTGAAAGACAAACCATCATGAGAACAAGAAGACAATGTAAATAATACGTCGAAGGAGGCAGGTGCTTGAGGCGCTAACAGAAGTCCTTTGGGGGCACAAATAAACGCTGAAAGGACCATATAGCAAAACTAACGAATAAGGACGGTATGCCAAAATATGCATTTGAGTAAAAGTAATCCTGCCTTGATAATTATATGGATAATTTGTATCTAGGTAAGAAGTAAAAGACAATGAAGTCTATTTCAAGTAAGCCTGAAAAACATTCATCGAAGACATTTGTTTTACGAAGTCTTATAACATTTACTCTTGGCATATTTAAATAATTAAATGGACCTAATTGGGAAGCACATGGCGGCCTTGGTGGGATTCAAGCCCAACACTCTAACTACCTGAGCCATGATGCCCCGACCGGTAACCGTGAATGAGTTACGTTTGTGTCAAGTTACCTGTTCAGCCTACTGCAACGTGTGGAATCCATAAATTCTGACACAGAAAGCTGACTACTCAGACAGGGTTTCGTCAGCAGTCAATCTAGAATCCGTCAGATGATGGCCAAGTTCACTTAGTAGGTGCTTAGTCCGACTTGCATGATTTATTTTAACCGATTGAAATTTTGTGACACTAAGTGATAAATTCATTTTGGAATACTTGGATCATAGCAACGCCGGTACGGTCCCTTGCACTTGTTTTTGCACAGACTTACATTTCTGCAGAAATGTGTGGTCATGACACGAATAACTGCTGGATTCACGAGAAAGCTTTGCCAAGAGCATATAATGAATAACACTTTTGAGAAACTTTTGGACTGAATAACAAGTTTGTAAACTTTGAAAGAAACAGTTTCAAAAATTGTTTCAAATAGTTTTAGAATTGAAAACTTGTGTTGAAATAGTGGTTTATCACGAGTCAAAACGACTGCATATGGAATAGATCTAGGACTATGTGCTTGCAGTGTTTTTTATTGAACTGTGCAGGATATAAATTCAAAACGCAAGAAAATATGCACGATTCACGAAAAGAAGCCCTGCTCTAGGTAAGAATAATATAGACTACGTCAGGCAACTGCTAAGGCTGTTTACATGAGGAAATGGCTGACCTCTATGGATATGAACATAGGGAGAACAGTGTTACCAACATCATGTATCTCGACGACGATGGTGAGCCTGGTGAGACCCTGGATCATTTTCGTTTCTGTTCGAGAGTTATCTTCGTAGACTGAAAAACTGTTTCGAAGTCCATATCGGCCTCTGCAGCAATTTACCAGACACTTGATTGAAGTGCATATACGACTTAGCCATCAACACAGTGGTCATCAACTGTGGTCTCTGTAGAGGCGCAGTCGACATCGGTTATGCTAACGCATGGAAATCTCAACTGCAAATATGTGCATTAGCATTGACGACAAGATAATGGACATGCGAAACATCGTCTGCGATAGCACAGGAAATATTAGGTAAGTATTTGGAGAGTTTATAAACCTGTCAGATAACTTTAAATATCCTTCAAGTGCCATCACCTGTGTGAACCTGTTGCCCTTCTTTATCATAACGACTTGTATGTACTAACAGAAGTAATAGACAGAAGCTGACCGCCACCATCAATCTTATCCAACATGTGAACGGCGCTCGTGGACCCTAAACCAGGCAGTCTTGTAGTTAGTGATTTGCGAACACTATGGAATGAGATGGACATAAAAATTCTAAACCATCATAACCTTTTTTTCCTTTGTGGTGGCAGACAACACGAGGAGGGTGCTAAAGGATTACGCAGACTGCACAGAGAATGTCAAAGCATGTTTAACAAAATTAACTGACGTCTCAAAAATATGCCACTCCCAACAGTTGATTTCTAGGTCTTATTTAAATGCCACTTAAGAAGTAGAATATCTCCTTGTGGAGGAAACAGAATCCATTCATACTCTGTCCGCATGGACTCACAACACGAATGGAGGTAATATACCAAGTCACTAAATGAAATAAATGGCAGATATAGGAAGAAGTTGAGAAAGTCGACCAAGATAGCACTACTACACGCAAATAGCAAGCATGAAGGTAACGAAGTACCTGCACCAGCGGCTTCGGGTCGCAGAGTTGTTAAGAGCTGAAGAGCAACTGACAACTACAGTTTTCTATCAACCTGTGCACTCCTTCGAACGAAGGAAGAATTTAGACAGATGAATTCACGACTACCGGAAGCGGACTTCAGCAATCAGTTGGTCAGTTATTTAAAAGGACACTAACACACCTTTTTGGTGGGATTTTTGGATTTTCGAGGACGTCGTAACACGGACGAATTCGCGATTCTTTTACATTTTTGTCGACGAAGACATAACCAACCAGAAGTTATCAGTGGTATGCTGTGGAACCACAGCAGAAGCGTCTTATTCGCGTTCCCTCACGGCGACCAAGGTCTGATATACCAATTTCCCTACGGTGGATCTATCTCTCCTCCTCTCCATCTGTGTTTTTGATGACGGAGCAGCCCCTCTCGACCATGCTGCTTCGACTCCTCCTCACCGCCGGGATTGAGGCCCACCCGGCAGGGCTTCTGATCCAACAAGGGCTGAATGATTTAAAAAGTATTGCTACATAAAAAATTTATGCCAAGTAAACAAAGTCGTCTAGGTCCGACACGTACGAATTGGAGACGGCATTCGTTGAACGAAACGGTGAACGCCTGAAGCCCCAATCTGATGGTAGGTTTTCGTTGCATGCTCCTAATGCGTTATATTCCTTTA